ATTCATCCGTTAACCCTTCTCTGCAAGAAGCGATATATCAAGATTATCTTGAAGCACAGAGAACCAGTCAGTGAAGAATGTTTTGCTGAGGGAAGAGAAGTTGCGAAAGATTTGCGAAATTTTCTAAAAAGTACGTTGCAAGATATGGCTCAGCAAATTCCCTGGCGAGGCAATTTGAAGTATGAGCTGTGCGTCGAATGTCCCTTTTGCCCAATAGCGAGAAAACCCTGTCAGAACCATGGCAAGATATCCTGTACCCATGAAGAGTGTTTTTGTCTTCTTAACATGGCAGCGGCAGAACGATTGCTTTGTGAAAAAAGCTTCTGTGATAAAGTACCCACGATTCCTGGTCTAGATGAATGGTTTTCCATGGTAAGTCGTCGTGTATAATAGTGTCCATTCCAAATAAGTCAATTTTAAGACGTTATGATAAATTTGGCCCAGCAAGAATTGAGAAGGTTGCACGATAGCATAGTGTTTATCTGTCGATATCGCATCAGTGTGTTTTCTGTCTTGATTTTATTGCACAGGAGGACAAGAATGTCAAGAAAAGGGAAGAAACTCTATCTCGTGGAGGTAAGAGAATCGTGACTTTTGGAAATGAGAAAAGGCAACAGTGCTTCGTGCTGGGTGCAGTCTATTTGGTTACCATGCAACTAAAAATATTTTTTTTCAAACGACTAAATTTCCACTATCCCATTATCTTTGCAAGGTATTGATTTAGTTATGAGGTTTGCCACTGTGTACTTTGATGCAAATTTGAAGATTTCTGTTCATCTTCTTTTTTATTGTTTACAGCACCCATGTCACTGTTTACTTAAAAACGTCAAATTGAAGAATTGGCTGTTTTCTTGTTCAGAGTAAGGAATTTAGAAAGTCAATTCAAAAGACATGATCAATTTGTAGAACTGTTGTCAAGTGGAAGCTTTCCACCTTGAGTGCAACATGAAATGAAAAGATGTAAAGGGTTAAAAGTTGTATTGGTATGTTTGATTATTATTTGATTAATTAAGTAATAATTGATAATTATTTAACTATTAATTACTTAGTAAGGTTTACTTTGTCTTTTGTAGTACCCCATGAGATCAAAGGTCAAGGACTACGAGCAAAACAGGCATATGAAAATGCACTTCGGATTGGAAAAGTCAAGGTCTACCGTGCTCGAATCATGCTGATTGGCCAGGATCGTGCTGGAAAAACAAGTCTCAAAAAGTCCCTCTTAGGTTTGCCATTTGATGCTGAAGAGCAGAGTACTGTTGGAATTGAAGTAGACCTTTCATCATTCAAAGTTGATGTTGATCAGATAACGAATTGGCAACGCACTGCTAAGAAGGAAGGTGTATCTCAGTTTGCAAAGGAGCTGGCAAGAATAGTGGCCGGTGACCTAAAAAATGAAGAAGCAAAGATGGATTTGACACCTCAAAGGGAACTAAAAGAGACAAGATCTCACAAAACTCAGGTTGGTGAACTGCATATTCCAAACACTGTATGGAACAAGTGATTTAAAAGCTTTTACAATAATCCTTAAATCATTATCTCCCAGGAAATTGAAGTTGTGACCAGAAAGTTTGTGATCTGCTGCTTCAAAGCCTATAGTCTAAGACCCCTCCTTGGTCACTTTGCAATTTCTGCCTCCTCATAAATATATATATATAGATATATATATATATATATAT